TTTTTCTAGCCTCTGCCTCACCTGCCATATACTCTGACTTTTTAATAATTCCTTTGTTCATCTTTATGATCCCAATAAAGTTCCCCAGAAGCAGCCTCTGTTGTCAATAATATGTGGTCACTGGGATAGAGTTCTGCATCTTCTTTAAGACTTCCTATTAATAAATGAAACTAAAGGTGTGTCTGCTCTGTTGATGGTGAAGTTAGTAAAATGGAAATGCTGGTGATTGGGAACATACTGCTTATGTTCATCTTATTGACTGTTAAATAAAATACTGTTTGGCCAATGAGACAGGAAGTTAGACAGTCAAAGAGGATTCTGGGTAATGTAGTAGAGAAGTGCTGATTCAGGCAGGAAGTGACATAGCAAGAAGAATCATATTTAAGCAAAGGAGAAAGAGGATAGGCCCATCTTTTCCCCTCTGCTCCTGCTGCAGCAGCACAATGTGATCCACCAGCAATGCAGGATGCCAATAAGGCATCCAATAAGATAAGTCTCATAAATTATATTTATTTAAGGAAATTCAGACTGAGCTAACAAATGAGAATCCTATTCTTTGGCCAAGCAGCATTCTACCTAATGCAATTTTCTGTTTATTCATTTGGGCCTAATTCGGGCGGGCGGGTGGCTGGCATAAAGCTCACACATGGCAGTAGGGTTCAGGTGGCTTTTTGCAGAAACATTTATAGTAACATGCTGGTATTGCTAATGGGCCAGGAATGGCTTATACATTGTAGTGACTTTGATTTGGTCAAAGTTGGTGCTGCCTACACTGATATTATATAAATGGTTGCTGACATCCTGAGTTATATATGTATAATTCCAACCCTAAAATAAGAGTTTGTTAAATTTTCCTTTTGGTTTTGTGTCATGTCCAAGAGGCTTGTGCTCATCCAGTACAGAAAAAGCCATTTGGTGCAGCCCATGTGGCAGAAGAAACAAGGGTGGGAGACTGTTTACAAACTAATTGCTGGGAAGGGGTCATATGCTGCTCGTGCTGAAATGCAGTTACCTGTGTGTGTCT